GGACACTGGGGTGCAGGACCCTCTGTCTGAAGCCCAGGGCTGGCTGCCTCTGAGCTCACTCCCTACAGGTTCGGGGGAGAGGTCTGCAGGGCAGGGAGAAAGGGACCATTGAAGCCAACAGAGGCACAAATACAGGCCTCAGAGTTTCCACAGCAAGCTACAGAGTAGGCAGGTGGCCTCTTCCTGGAAAGAAAGGAAAACCTCAAACCAGGCCTGGCTTCCCCTGCTCTCCTTCCTCAGTGACCACTTTAAAAAAAAAAAAGCAAAAAGTTACAGTGAATGTTCCATAATCCCCGACCAAAAGTCCACTGACATAAAAAAAAGAAAACAAATACATAAGTTAGGAAATGAAAATTGAAAAAATGATGCAAAATGAAAAATAAGTCTATTTCTGGAAGGGAAACAACCTCCAGAGGAAAAAACCACAGGCAAAAACTCACATGTGTGAACACACAAGAGGAACCACACTATGCTCCAGAGGTCAGCAAACTTTCTATAAAGGGCCAGATAATGTTTTGGGCTTTGTCCCATTTACTCAACTTTGRAGGAGCGCAAGTACAGCCATGGGCAATACGTAAGTGAAAGGGTGTGGCTGTGTGCCAATGAAACATTATGGACTCTAAAAGGTGAATTCCTTGCTTTTTCTTTTTGGTACTAGAGATTGAATCCAGAGGCGTTTTACCACTGAGCTATATCCTCAGTCCTTTTTATGTATTTATTTTGAGACAGGGTCTCACTAAGTTAGCCAAGGTTGGCCTTGAATTTGCAATCCTCCTGCCCTGGCCTCCCACACACATGTGATTACAGGAGTATGCCACCACACCCAGCTCATTTAAAAAATATATATATATTTTTAGCTGTAGATGGACACAATGCCTTAATTTTATTTATTTATTTTTATGTGGTGCTAAGGATCAAATCCAGTGCCTCACACATACTAGGCAAGTGCTCTACCTCTGAGCTACTGCCTCAACCCCCAGCTCATTTTTTTTTTAACTTCTTTTAACCACTTAAGAATGTAGAAATTGGGGTTGATGATGTAGCTCAGTGGCAGAATGCTTGCCTCACATACACAAGACCCTGGGTTTGATCCCCAACACTACAAAAAAAAAAAAAAAACTGAAAATAATTCTTAGGCACAAGTTGTACAAAAAGAGGCAATCTGGCCTGTAGGTGAAGTGTGCCATCTCCTATTCTCTGCTTATTTCACTTCTATCCCAAGAATAGTCCCACGTCAGTATGAGAGGTACATCTCATTTTTCTGTACTGCTGCAAACTAACTCATTGAGAGGCTATGCCATAAGTGCACCATAGCTTGCTTTTATTTTTTTCTTTTTTCTTAGTTCTGGGGATTAAACTCAGGGGCACTCTACCACTGAGCTATATCCTCAGTCCTTTTTATTTTAACACAGAGCCTTGCTAAATAGCCGAGGCTGGCCTCAAACTTGCAATCCTTCTGCCTCATTATGCAGAGTCTCTGGGATCACAGGCACACACTGTCTTGCTCAGCTATACCACAGCTTTCTATAGTTCAACATTTTGTTTTGAAATGATATACAATGCTATAATGAACATTCTTGTACATATGGTCAACTTTTATAAATATACTCTAGTTTAAAGAGCTAAGAACACTTAAAATTTCTATGTTGCCAAATGTTCTTCCAGAAAAGCAGAATTTATTTTGTACTGCATATGAGCCAGACGCTCTTTCCTTCATCCTTGGCAATCCTAGATGTCCTGAYGGACATTCTAGAAACTTATCCTTCTCTAAAGACCCATGTACTTCCTTAGTGGAAAGTTTCTCACATTTAGAATCCTCTTCTACCTCTCAGCCATTAATACCTGCCCTGAGAAGCTACTTTGGTGTCTGTCTTCTTCTAAGTTTGAAGGGTGCAAGCCAGGCTGCCAGCCAAAGGGCAGAGAGTGATTTGAACTAACAGCCCAGATGTAACTGCTGCCCAATTACATGATGATTAAAAAATGCAAACCCCCTGGAGCTCCTGGACTCCAACCTCAGGCTACCTATAGGTCCTAGTCCCTTTTGCCTTCACATCTAGAATCTTCTAGTATCCACCTGACAGAAGCTCTGGAGATGGACATCTGAGTACCTATCTCCCCTTAACTGCATGGATAAAAGAAAATTTAAGCCAAAAAGAACTGACTTTCCCAGAGTTCCAGCATCAGATATCCTCTCTGCTCAGCTGCTTCTCTTAACATAGGGTTGTCCCCTACCAGTTCCCCCCTCCCACATATAGGCTTGAGGACTTTAGGGTATCTTCTCTCCCTGGCTGCTGGTATGAGATTATGACTAAATCCACCCCTTGCCATAGGCCACCACAGACTCCCTGATCTGGCTCTGGGGTGGCAGCACAATGACCTTTAGATCAGTGGCTCTCCAGGACACCTGCACATACTGATGGATCAGATGTAGTTATGAGCCAGGTCTGCAGAATTGCCCAGCTCCCAGCAGCCTACAGCCCAGCTGTTCAATGGCTAGTCAATCCTGGTGTCCTAAAGGGAGCTCAGTAAAGCCTTGTGCACATGAACTCACAATTCAGCAGGCAAAGAGTTGAAAGTGCTCCAAGGGACAAAGACTGCTGGGGGGCAGGGCAGAAGAGAGAAATGGGGAGCTCAGGACCACTAGGAAGGGTGGTAGTGTCTAACATCTGGGGCCAACTCTAGGTAAACCTGGGATGTCTCACAGGAACATAATTAGCAAAGCTAGGCATGGTGAGCTGTTTACCTGAAGAGGGATGAGGACCCTCACTTTGTCAGGGAAACTGTGGTTCCATGGCTTTTCCCATATGGCTTTCTCACAAACCCCAATACCTCACACTATGCTGCTGGCCCAAGGACAGCACATGGGGGAAAGTGGGGGTGGTGGACAGGAAACACACACACTGTTAAGTGCTTCTGCATGCCAAGCTCTGTGCCTAGTTGCTTGCACAAGATGACAAACTGTCATCTCTGTCATCTGTGTCCCCAGCCAAAACCTCATGGTGCCTGACAAGCACGTAGGGGATGAGTAGCAATAATTATCCCTATTTTAAAATGAGAAGGGCAGGTTCCAAAGTAAAGAGGCTTCCCTCCCAGCTCAGTGCCCTCTGGCTGCCTCAATCCAGTTTCAACCCCAGCCAGAGAGGGAGGGCCAAGTCCTGTTCCAGCCATGGCCTGTCCTCCCAGGAGGCCCAAGCTAAAATGCCTGGGGTAGGCTGGACAGCTTCCCTGCTCCAGGCAACCCTTTCCTCAAACCCCCCATAAATGCTGGCTGCGTGGGATGGGAGGAAGTGGCGGGGTTGCCATTTCCCCTAGCTCTGAGGCTGCCCATCTGTTTCCTGGGATAGGACTCCCTGCCCCCATCCACCCTGTCCCGGAAACTCACTTGCTTTGGGTCTATGAGAAAAGGAACTACATGGCTCCCTCCTTTCCCAGGGGGTGGAGACAGAGGCTCTAGCTGCTGCAACCCCTTCCAGGTCTCCCACCCTCAAGGCTCTAGGTGTCTACTTCCTACCAATGATTCTGGGCACACAAGAGGGTAGCCAGTCCCTGACAGCACTGCCCCCAAACCACAGCACCCAGTTCTCAAAGCAGCCRTGAGTTTCTCCTCCCTCCCTCCTCTGGTCTAGCTGGCAGTTTCACTGCTTATCCCAGCCTGGAAGGTGGGATGAGGGGGTGACTTTCTGGGTAGAAGTTTGTGGAACATTAAAAAAAAAAAAAAGTGAAAACAAGCTTTCCCAGACCCCACGGCTGTCCTCACAGTCATCTCTGGGTGAGCACCGCCCCCTGCTGGACATGTCAGATATAGCTGCCTGGGCCACCCTACATTAGGGACTAAGCAGATAAACAAGGAAAAGGCACAGCCTGGGTCTCATCAGTGACATAACAATGCTCCCAAAACTATGGCAGATAACATGAGCAATGTCCAAAGTAACCTGTAGTTCCACATCAAATCAAACCACAGGGCTGTGGGGTTGTCGTCTATTGGATTTCACATTGTTTAAGGCTTTGAACTTTTGTCCAAAATATGAAACTGACCAAAATTGAGGTGGCCTAGCCAAGAACGGGGGCTACAGTTTCCAACCTCAAAACAACGTGGTGGTTCCTTGGGCATCTGCAAACACCTGAGGCAGCAAAGTTTGAAACAAGAGCTGTGGGCAATGAGGAGCCTTTGAGATTTCAGTGCATTTGACAGGACAACCATGGTGTCTAACAAAAGAATAGAACCCCGGTGCTCAGAACCAAGTGAAAATGGGGCAGAGGAGCCCAAGGCACAAGTGGGGGCCGAGAACCTGCTGTATTTACTCAGCCAGCCTCCTTCCCACAGGATCTCATGGGCTCTCAGGGTCAGTGTATAGGAACTCAAACCCCCATCCACAGCATCCTTTCCCCATCTCCCTTCATATCCTGTCCACACTATCTAATCTAATCTAGCTCCTGCTTACACGGCCCACACACCAACACACCCAGAAGAGCTCCACAAATACCACGATTAAGAAAAAGAAAATCCTGCCAGGCATGGTGGCACATCCTTACAATCCCAGGGAAGCAGGAAGATCACAAGTTCAAGGCCAGTCTCAGCAATTTAGCAAGGCCTTCAGAAATTTAGTGGGACCCTATTCCAAAATAAATAAATAAATAAATAGATAGRTAGGTAGGACTGGGGAGGGGGTTGGGGCTGTAGCTCAGTGGCAAAGCGCTTGCCTAGCATGCGTGAGGCACTGGGTTTGATTCTCAGCACCACATAAAAATAAACAAATAAAATAAAGGCATTCTGTCCATCTACAACTACAAAAACAAAAATTAAAAAAAAAAAAAAGGACTGCAGACATAGCTTAGTGGTAAAGCACCCTGAGTTCAATTCCCAGTACAAGAAAATCCCACACACTGAAGAGAAATAGGCTGGTATCATTATACAATAGTTACTATCATTACATGATAGTATAGTAATGATGACTGTCTAATGTTAGAGGCCACTACACTTGTCTAAAGAGGATACTCACCCCAGGAATGTCCAAAAGCTTTGACACCAGAAAAGGCAACTTCAGAGCAGCAACACTTCCGGTGACACCCACAAGAACATGGAATTTTCTCTCCACCAAGGATGCAGCACCTGGACATGATTCCATGTGGGGTCTAATGGCTTAAAATTCTGGGAGCCTGCAAAGCCTGGACTTCATAAAGCTCTGTCAGGTCTTAGCATCTAGAGCAGAACAAATGATACCCTTTCACTCACACATTCAACCAAAAGGTATACAGAGAATATCATGTTAGACCCTACACCAGATGCCAGCGAGCCTCAGAGGATCAACAGTCCCAGCTTCTGTTAACACAATGTGATTAGAAAAGTCAGACCCCCCTCCCCACACAGGCCTGTTACAATGTAATGTGGCAAATGCTATGAAGAAGGGTCATTCCAGGTATGGTGACTGTCTCATTGAAAAGACATTCAGGTTGAATCCTGAAGGAGGAACATTTTTTTCCAGAAACAGGAGGAAATGACTTCAAAAGATGGAAAATCTTATAAAGGTGAAAAGACCTGAAAGGAAGTGGTAAGTTGGGAGAATAGAAAGTAGCTCAGTAGTGAGGTTGAAGCATGATGTAGGTATTAGGATAAGGCTGCAAAATCAGGTTGAGGTCAGAATGTCAAGGGCAGTGAGACTCTGGAGTTTTTATTTGAGAAAGATGGTGCTGGTACTGGTGCTGCCAAGAGTGTAGAGGAGGCTGGGGGTGAAAAGATGGAGAGTGAAAGGAACTACTGCAGCAGACCAGGCTGACTGGTCCAAGGGAGTAGTAGTAAGAGATGGAGTCCAAAGATGCTTGTGAGGCAGAACCCTAGGCAACCGGGGGACTGGGTACTCCCAGGAGTTGAGAGATTTTGGCCTTTATGGCTCTGACTCTGTAGATCAGCCTGAGCACCAACCTACCAAGGAGAAGCAGATGTACGCCACGCCATGGGACCAGCTAGCTGATTTCCTCCTTTGACTCTCAGATGTTGCTAGAAGTAAGTGCTCCTGGGCAGGCGAGGGAGGTATCAGGTTTGGGGCATTGACCYTGGATCCTCCTTTCTTGGCCTCCTAAATAGCTGGGATTAAAAGGGTGGGCTATCACACACAGCTGAGTGTTCATAAGAGAGCTGAGGGACATACCAAAACCTATATTCTGGCAAGCTGGGCCAGCAAACCACACTCCATCAGCAACAATCACTGAGGACTGAGTTCAACTCTGGGCAAAGGACCTCTAGAAAATACAGCTGCTACCATCAGGGAATCTATAAGTAAGGTTAAGACAGGGACCACACCCAGAATTACTTGAAACAGGTCCTTCTCTACCATGTACCTTTTTGGTCATCACTGACTCAATTTGTATAAGTTTTTTGCCTCTACCTCCAACAGCAAGTTCCCTGCAGTGTGATCATGTTTAACCATCCAGTGTTTTAGTCAGCTTTTTTCATTGCTGTGACCAAAAGACTTGACAAGAACAACTTTAGAGGAGGAAAAGTTTATTTGGGGCTCATGGTTTCAGAGATCTCAGTTCACAGATGGACAAATCCAATCCTCAGGGCCTGAGGGGAGACAGAATATCATGGTGCAAATGTGTGGTGGAGGAAAGCAGCTTGGAACAGGGCACCAGGAAGCATGAAGAGCTCCCCTCACCACAGACAAGGGCACGCCCCCATAGACCTAGTTTCTCCAGCCATGCCCTACCTGCCTACAGTTACCACCCAGTTAATCCCTATCAGAGGATTAATGAACTTATTAGGTCAAGGCTCCCATAACCTGATTTCACCTCTAAGCTTTCTCACATTGTCTCACACATGAATTTTGGGGGGATACTTCATATCTAAACCATAACACCCAGTCACTAGCCTACTACCAGGCAGTCCTGAATGTCTGCTGAATGATTGATAAATTGCATGCTGGGGCTGGAGAAGTAGCACACTGGCAGATCACTTGCCTAGCATGCTGGGAATGCTGGGTTCAATTCCCAGTATAATGGGGAGGAGCCTGTACCCTCTAGACACTGTGGCCTGTGAATCAGAAGCCCTGGATCCTGCTCATAGTTATACTTCTGACTTGATATGCAACCTAAGTCTCCTTCATGTGCCAAATGCAGTTAGGATGGGTTTCTCTCTCAAGTTTCCTCCAGTAGAAGCTGAGTCAATACATAAAAGACAGTGGTAAGGGCTCTTTGTACAAGGGAGGTCTTAAGAAGATGCTCAAAAAGGGCAGAATCAGCAGCATGAGGGAAACCCAACTGACCCAGAGGAAGAACTGGTGAACAGCTGTGTTTCTACTGGCTACCTTCATGGCTCCATGGGGTCCTCTCTGCCCAATATTTGCCTTTAACTCTTAGTATATATCCATGTGAGCAGATGATTTTTGGCTCCAGTATCCCACTTCTACATGGAAGGGTCTCCAAGGATTCAGACCCTTCTCAGTAGGGGTTAAGCATAGGCTGGTTTCCTAGAGCAAGACCCCCCAGGGTTCCATTTGCCAGCAATTTCAATTTCTGTTTCAGGCCTAGCCAGGGTCATGCTGGCTCAGAGTTGAAGAATTGAGTTCATCTGGGAACTAAAAAGCCCTATTAGCAACTAGCAAKGTCCACAGGGTCTCTAAGCCAGTTTCTTGTCAGAGTACATTGGTGGGTAACAGAAGCACATTCTTGGTTCTTTGGGGAAACCTACCTGCCAGATCTCAAACCCCCACCCTGTTCCACCCTAGCCTATCCTATTAGGACAGGGAGATTCCTGCAAAACCAGAAGTTCAATTACATCTCTGCAGCCCCTGAACCTCCTCTATAAACAAACTGAAAAATTCCTACGAAACAGGCTACAGTAAGCAATCAATTGAAGATGGGCACAGTGGCACATATCTATAAACCCAGTAACTCAGGAGGCTGAGACAGAAGGATCACAGTTTCAGACCAGCTTCAGCAACTTAGTGAGGCCCTGTCTCAAAATAAAAWATATATATATATAAAATAAAAAAAGGGGCTGGGGATATAGCTCAATGGTAAAGTGCCCCTGGGTAACAATCCTCAGTATGGGGCAGGGGCCAGTTGGCAAACAGGTGGGTTATAGTGCTAAAGGCCATGATTACTGGGCCTCAAGGTCCCAGGGCACCAGCCATAGAGGTAACCCACATCCAGAAAAATGGGAGCTTCTATTCCTCCTATCCCCCACCTGCCCCACTTTCTTTTTTTGGCTCTGGGGATTAAAGCTAGGGATGTTTTTACTGCTGAGCTACATCCCTAGCCCTTTTAAAAAATCTGAGACAGGGTCTTGCTAATTGCTAAATTGAGGMTGGTCTCAAACCTGCAATCCTCCAGCCACAGCCTCCTGAGTTGTTGGGATTACAGGTATGCACCACTGTACCTGGCTTTTCTCTTTTAGATAGATTATCAGAAAGAGCAAGGAGCCTCAGCATGCAATGGCTAAGTCTTCCTCTCTGAGCAGTTTAAATAAAGGGCAAAATGGAAAGATTTCAGGGATATTTGCCAGTAACAACATGGTCAAGAGTAGAACCAGAATAGAACTAGGGCTAAAAAAGGAAGCAAGGTAAGCAAGACCAGACAGGGTATAAGCTGAGCCCAATTCAGGAAAGATGAGGGACTGGAACCTAAGACAAAACAGGCCCAAAGGAAGATGGATAAGCAGGGCTCCTGAAAGGGCTGGGGATGCAGCTCAGTATAAAGACATGTGTAAAGCCCTAAGTTCTTTCTTGGCATATTAAAAACAAAAACCCGAATCCTTTAGCCTGCCATCAAAGCCCCTCACTATTGACCTAGGCTGACCTTCTACCAATCAATACACTCTATCATCTACCCCAGCAACAACAAATAACTTGTAGCTTCTCAAAGTGTCACTCTGCACCAAAACCCAAAGAAAAATTAAAACTCTTCTCTAAGCCTAGGTAAGACAAGGAACTCTGCTGGAAACACTCAAAGCCTTGGTATTTCTAATAGAGTACTTTTCTCTCAAAMGAGAGATAGGCATGCTTGACTCTGCTGATCCTGAAATTTCCTGTGGGCACCTGTCCAGGAAGCCACATGTTGTAGAGAGAGATCCCACACACACTCCAGCTATTAGATTGTAGTGACTGACTACTGCTACCTCCAAGCCGCCAAGGCAGATGTAAAAAAGCCCTGCTCCAGGACACCCACCATTGGCCTAACTTGGGAAGCTCTCCTCTTATTGTCTAACAGTTTCCAAATATTTCAAAGGACAGCAGGCAGTTCTCTTCTGACAAAATTCGCCCTCGCTCAATTTTACATGCTATTCAGCATTTTCAGGAGGTTCCTACAGATAAATCCAACACTCTAGAGCTTTCATTTTTCAATTTCACTACCTTTTAAAATACTGTCCGACTGGGCGCGGTGGTGCCTGTAATCCCAGTGATGCTCCTAACAGAAGCTCGAAAGTTCGAGGCCCCTCTCAGCAATTTAGTTCTGTCAAAGCGCTTCTAGATTCAATCCCAAATACCAATTTTTTTTTTTTTTTTTTTTTTTAGTTAATTAAAATACGGTTTGCCCTTTGGAAAGCCCTTGCTCCTTTCTTAAAGCAGACTCATACGGCTTTTGTTTTTTTAAAGGTGAGAGTTAAATGTGAGAAATTATAAAGCCTCCTTCTACTGAATTAAACAGCGCAGAACAAAAAAATCTCAAGAGTAACGCAAGTCAAAATGAGCGGACACACATGTGGATATATATCCCCCACTCTAGGTTCAGGGGTCCCTATTGCTTCTGCGGGCCCCCAAGAGTACCGGTAGGTGAGGTCTCACAGGCTGTACGGGCTGTCTATACGTCCACACGCGGAAATATCCCCCCACCGCTCCACCCCGACGTACACACAGCGGCAAGCAGTTTCTCCCGCCTCCCCATGAAGCACGCCAAGACCCAGCTTCCCAGCCCCTGCTCACCCGCGCCAGACACCGGGCGCATCTCGTAGGCAGTCACCAAATACCGCGATATCTTGGCTGCCCTTCCCACAGATCCTGAACGGTACGCAGCCTCACGAGCGCACAGAGATTGCGCAACCTTCTGGGAGTTGTAGTCTACGCTAAAAATTGTAGTCCACTCCTCTGCCTTCTGGGAGTTGTAGTCCACTGAGGGAATAGGACACTCACAGACTCCAAGCTCTTCACTTCTGGAGCTGAGGACTTGCCTAATTGTAGGACTTCCTCACCTTTATCCTACACTCACACACACAATTCAGAACTTAGGCACTTAATATTGAATAGTACCATACCCCTACTGTTTAAGGTGCACAGAATACAGAGATGAATAAGATGTGGCTCTGCTCTTGAGACAAACAGGAACACAATTACAGGATAAGTTTCTCCATGAGGAAACTGAGGGACCTAAGCAACATTCCAGGTAGGAAAGCCCTCTCTACCAAGGAGTCAGTCACTTGAGATGAATCTGGAAGGATGACCAGGATAGATGACCAGAAAGGCATTCCAAGAGGAGGGCAAAGGGAAAACAGCAGGAGAAAGCATGTTGGATGCATTTCCCTACCTTATTCATTTTCCTGCATTCAGGACCTTTGTGTTTATTGAGGCTGCTCAACCAGATACAGGTATCCCAAGGTGACAGCTGAGGGACCACCATGCTCTACTCTTTCCCTTGTCCACAGTGAACCATGTGGACCAAACCACCCCTCACCCACTGATCCATCCTATTTCTACTTCCTTCTCAGGAATTCACAGCTTTCTCCTCCTAACAAGCAGAAGGCCTATGTGGCAACTTCAAGACCTACTCAAAGCTGCCTCAGAGGAAGAACCACACGAAAGTGCATGGCTTGGGCTGGGAATATAGCTCATTTGGTAGAGTGCTTGCCTCACATGTACAAAACCCTGGGTTCAATCTCCAGCACAAAAAAAAAAAAAAAAAAAAAAAAAAAAAAACATGCTCCGCTTTTGGTGCTAAGGAATAACTCCACAGATCACCCAACTCACCCATCTCACCTTCACACCTCTGCCCTATGGCCCAAGGTAAGGCTCCATGTAGGCCAACATGAAGACACATGACACAATAGACAGGGTCAAATGTTCCCCTTTATTTTTATTCACTCAGTTACCACAGATAGACACATTGGCTCAGGCAGATCAACTGCCAGCTAGGGAATGGTTTATGCCTCCCAGAAACAAGGAGGGGCAGTGGGCACCAGGAAAATGCAAAAACAGATCACTGGCTGGCCACAGACCTGAGGATCCCCATAACTGGGCCCTCCTTGACCCACCTCCAAGCCAGACCATCCAGCAGAGAGGGTTCTGTGTCCAACCCCCACTTCTCATCCTGGTTCCCTCCACAGGAAAGTGCATAGTTGCCTAGAAATACAGCCTCCCAGAGACTGAATAAGCTGGGCCAGACGTAGGTAATAGGGTTTCCAAGGACAATGCCAGGCACAGCCATACAGGTCTGAGCCAGTTCAGAGGAAAGGCAGGTAGGACAGGAAATTGATTGAAGGTGGCATCCAACAGGCCATGGATGCCAGGCTAGCAACTGGACCACAGTCTTCCTGGAACTACCAGAGGGTTAAGGGAAAGGGAATCAGAGGACTGGGATCAAGGGGAAGGAAGGGTCTCTTCAGATACCAGGGGCTGTGACAACTGCTCTCCGGAAGGMAAATGATAAGAGAACCAATTATATTTTGTGATCCAAGCCTAAGGGACCATTAGAAAAGAACTTTATGAAGTAGTGGTAGGTCAATGCTCAGAGTGGCCTGCAAAGTGAGGTGTTGAGTTTCAAGGAGGAGCCAGCCTAGAGTGGTCAAGTGGGGTCTGGTTTTCCAATTCATCTAGCCCAGGTGGGCTTCCACTGGAAGAAGAGAGGGTAGGAAATAGGGAGCTGCTCCTTGGGTGAGAACCCAATTCCATCCAGGTCTCATACAGAGTTGAGGCCTCTGCCAGCAATGTTCATCACTGCTTCAAACAAAACAGCCCCTGTTTGGGCCTCTTAGAAGGGGAAAGGTGTTAACAGGGTGAAGAATTGCCAAGAACCAAGTCCTTTAGACAGAAGGAAGGAAGTTATCTTGATTTGGATGTGGGGTGGGGGATACCTAAACCAAAAACTAAAGCCAAAGCATCTCTTCTTCCCTCCCTGACTAACCAGAAATACCATTTAGGTTCATTGTGCTTACAACAAGGATTGGACCTGTGCACTTTTCCCTGGGCCCCAAGTTCAAGTGCCCAGCACTTTTCTGTGGCCAAGAGCAAGTGAGACTACGAGTGGCATGCTCTTCTCTCATTGGATACTGTCTGCCTTCTTCTGATCTCTCTTACAGTTCTGGCCCTCCGAGCCCTGTACTTCCTGCCAGACCCAAACAGAACAGCTATTGCTCCAAGGAATCCAGTGGAATCCTATGGTTACTCAGAGATACCTAGAAGCTCTAGTGGAATGAGAATAGCCAGACCTCCTCAGGGACCAATAATTATTTACATGTCTTCTGCTCCAGCACAACTGGAGATGACAAATGCCCACAGAACCCAACTCCTCAGGGAAGGCAGTAAGGCCAGGGTAGAAGAGTCAAGCCCAAGGATTTGAGGGTTGAGGAGGAAGCAGAAGGAAATAGACAGATGGACTCAGAGGCAAGGAGACCAATCCTGTATTTCCATCCCCTGGAATTCAGGTCCCCAGGTGGGCTTTGAATCTCCAGCTGCATACCCCTTCAACATCAGGGCTGAGGCTCAGCTCCCCTCTCAGCTTACTTGAACTGGAAATCACATCAGATTTGGGAATGTGGGCTTAGTCTTAGAAGCAGATATAACTGGGACACAGCCTTGGCGAAGACAGAAAAGCCATACAGGAAAGAGAAAGAGACCCTGGATGATGGAAGTGAGCACTGGGAATCTGATGGCAGGGAGGAGACAAGGAGAGGAGAAGATTGAGGGAGGAGATCAGATGGATTACAAGAAGCAAGGGAAGCACCCCTGCTTGTCCCCACCTTCCCACCTACCACCATAAATGCTAAATACTGTTGCTTCCCAATAGGGACAAAAGTGGAAAGTTTCAGCTCATAACCCTGCAGAGGGCGCCAGGCTCCCTGCTTTGCCTCCCCCTGCCCCATAAGGAGTCCCTGGGTCAGGGTCAGAGGGGGCAGCCTGGTGAGGGTGGGGGGGCTGGTTTAGTTCTAAACATACAGCTAGCACCACAACAAGAGACCTTCACTGCAACTATTTCACAAGGGGACATAGACACAGCTACCACTGCACGGGACAGCTCCACGTGCAACCCACAGCTCTTAAAGATCTAAGAGCAGGAACCAAAAAGTGGGGGCAGGGAATAGACATATACATATATATATATATATATATATATAACTCTGATTCTTTGTACAAAGTTCGGGAGGAGGAGAAAAGGGAAGGGGAAACACTGCTTGGTTACCACAACAGATGCTGTAGCTTGAGCCCCCTGTCCCACTGGCCCCCAGCCCTGCCTCCTGTAGACTTGGCTGGCTCACATCTCATTGGAGTATGTATAGTTAGGGGTGGCGGAATACTGAGTCTGCGGCTGATTCATGGCACCCTGGGCTGCCCCCATGGCTGCATTCTGGGCTGCCTGCTGCACATGTGGGTTCTTCCATGCCCCTGTGGTCCATTCCTCCTGAGCTTTGCTGAAACTTCCCCCACTTCCCCGATAGAATTTATGAACCTGTAGAAGAAGGATAAGGAAGAGTTAATCCAAAGAGGCAGCCTATCCAGGAAACAGATGGGATCCACATGTAAAAACCAGTCCTCCCTCCTGGCCCATGCACTGTGCACCAGTAGGAAAGTCTAGCAGGTAATTCCAGAGTGAGTTAACTTGGAAAACCTCTGGCTCCTCTTGTAATTTGGAGAAAGGATTGTTTCAGATCATAGTCCCTTCCCAAACCCACCCTCTCACCTTTGAGATGGCCACATACCATGCTGAGGGCGATGAAGGAAAAGACAGCCACAACTGTGAACATGATGGTGGGAATGAGCATCACCACTGCTGAGCCAATGTTTGTCCCGAAGTAGGAGATGGTGGCGATCCAGCCACTGTAAGAAAAGGCCAGCTGTGGGGCAATGCAGGCAGAAGGAGGCATACCCAGATACATCCCACTGGGGCAGGGAGCCAATTCCATTGCCACAGGGAGGAACCACATCATTGGATGCAGAAGGATTATCTTACTGATACCCAAGGGCCTGTATCAGTGGCTCAGGAAGACCCCTTCCTTAGGGATCAGATGCAAGGCTTCCTTCCCTAAGGTTTTCCCACAATGCTGGACACTTCCCAGCTACCCAGAAACCACTGCCCAATTCTCCTTCCCTTAATTCACTGGTGGTGGCTACTACACTGTCCTGAATCCTTTCACTCTTCCATTAACTAGTCACCCACAGTGTTCTCACAGTCTAGGCAGTTTAGCACACAGAGGTAAGCAAAGGAAACACCCAAGGTGTCATTCCTACCAGCCCCAAGCCAGTCCCCTGCCTCTTACCAGACGCCCCAGCCTGGGATGCCCACAGCCTGGATGATGCTGATGACCAGTTGGGCCGTGAAGGTGAAGAAGAATGCCATGAAGCTGAAAGAGCTGTCGGTCCTGCATCAGAGAAGATGGCCTAAGCAAACAGCCAGGGTTTCCCTGCCTTCAAGGACCCCAAGACTTTTTAAGTTGAAGTGAATGCATAATGGAGGCCTTAATCTGGCCTTAATTGAGAGACCAGAATGGGATACCCTTTATCCATAAATCTTTGAATGTTTCCATGGGTTTGACCTGTGTATGCAACATTTACACAGGGAGGGGATCTCCTCATAAATAGACCAACCACTGGCACATGGAAGGATGGCCCCATTGGCATAGAATTAGATGGCTTCATTGGGGCAGAAGCAAGCAGCCCCACTCTCAAGGGTAGCCACATTGGCACTAAAACATACTGGTACATGGATGGATGGTCCCATAGGCCCAGAGTCAGAAAATTCCACTGGCACTGAATGGACACCTTATTGGTACGAAGACAACTAGCTGGCACATAGACAGATGGACTAATAATTGACAAAAAAAAAAAAAAAAAATTAAGGTCCCATTAGGATAGTCTACTGACATCAAGACAAACAGCCTTGTTGGTATGTTCCATTGGCACAAAGGTTGAAATCCTATTTGGCACTAAATGGGCACTCACAGGATCAAGACAGTCAATGCCACTGACACATGGATAAGTGCTCCCTTTGGTACAGAGTCAGATGACTTCATTTGCACATGAATAGTACCAATGGTTGATAGATAGCTGTTTCCACTGGCACATTGTTAAATGGTCTTCTTATCACCAATCAAGGATGGGCAGCTCCACCAAGAAAGGTGATGGGAGAAGATAGAAATTAGATCTGGTCTCTGTGTCCTCCACTCCCAAAGACAGAGTGGAAGGGAAAGAATTAACAGGAAGGTTCTCCCAGCCATCTCACCCCAGCCTGGAGCTTCCAGGAAGCTCTAGCCCCACAACAATCTGAGGCAATGGTGAACAAGGGAAAGTGATATTGGGGGAGGTAGGGTGATGGCAGAGAGAGAAGATGTAGAAAAGAAAAAAAGGGAGTGGACAAATAGGGCTAGGAGCTAGGGTCAGTGCCAACCACTTACTTGAAGGCCTTGTAAATGGGCCGAAACCAGCAGACGTAGGAGCAGGGTGTGAAGAGGATGAGCCAGAGAAAGGCGAGGCCAAAGTTGGTGGCTCCCCCGCCTCCGATCAGCCACGCAAGACAGCCCACCAGGTTCACGGCCAGTGTGATGCTGTTCACTGCAGACCCAGGAGCACATGCACACACAGAGACAGACACCAACATGCACACGTGCATCCAAGACCATTCAGAGATACGTGAGCACCCAAACATGGATAACACATACCCAGAACTCAACACAGACCCATAAACACATGCCAGTAGCACAAACAGAGAGATGTAGACACACACGGATATACACATACAAAAACAAACCACATTTATAGATTCACACCCACACAGAAGACCCACAACCCATATCAATGAATACATACACACAGACACACAAGACACACAAACATATACAGAGGAGTACAGACTATAAGAAAAAAGTTGGAAGCTTTGACCAAACCCCTCCCCATACCCACTTCTGGGAATCTGAGAAATCCAGAGAACAAAGAGTCTCCAGAACAGGAACCCAGAGTTTCTGCCCATCAAGCCCCTTTTAAGGGCCCCCAAGCCTCAGGGTGGTAGAAATGTTCTTGTAAGAAAGGTCTTTGGACTAGGGATATAGCTCAGTGGTAGAGCATGTGCCTAAAATGTACCAGGCCCTACATATGAATCCCAGCACCACAAAACAGAAAGGCTTCAGTCCCTGATCCTCCCAGACCTGCAGCAGTCACTAAGCCCAAGGCATCTTATACCTTCACTTGCAAGGTAGGGGCATGAAAAAGCAAAAGCAAAAGGCTTTGTGGAAACATCTCTCCAAGTCACTGTGACATCTCCCCTGCACTTAAATGGGATATGCAGTGATATCGGGATCTCAGTCTTTAATCAATTTCATAGACAGCTATCAAGCTTCCTCCTTCAAGAAGCCTTCCTTACTTATCTCTCACCCCTCTGGCCTCCTGCAGACCTGAGATGCTCTCATAGTTCCCCAAATACAAACCATCAGTCAGACTAGACGCTCCCCAAGATAGATCCAGGCTTTCCCTCCTCTGTCTCCACTTCATCTAGCTGAGCCTAGGAATCACAGTATTATAGGGTCACAGCCAACAGGTGCCTCAAAGACTCCTTACTTAAAAAAAAAAAAAAATCAATGCTGGTACTCTCACACACCTCGGTTTTCTGACATCAGGGTGCTCCCTTCCTGGAACACTGAACTGAATCTACAAGATCTACTGAATAGACAAAGCAAGGGCCGCTCAATCTTGGCCTCAAACAGCCAAGCATCTGTGGTTCTGAATAGAATCCTTCCACATCTCAGGCTTATATATATTTCCTCAGGACCCAAGCATCTAGCAGGCACCTAATAAGGACTTAAGGAGATATTTATAGCCCTTAAATCCAGCTTCTGGATGAGATCTCCCCAGGAGTGGAGTTCCAGGAAGCCAGGGTCACACAGTGCTTCCCAAATCTGATCTGGCCTGACAACTCTGTCACTTGTATGCAGGTATGACCATCTCAGAGCCCCTCATAACAAGTATGGACACTTTTTCCAATGTATTCCAGCTGTCCTACTACCATCCTTGTTCATGCTACACAATTTCCTGGAGCCTTAATATTCTTACTGATTTTATTTGCTTTTTACATAGAAAAGGTACTAACCAGGCTGGAGCTGGGGCTCAGTGGTAAAGCATTTGCCTAGCATGTGTGAGGCACTAGGTTTGATACTCAGCATCACATAAATAAATAAAATAAAGGTATTGTGTCCATCTACAACTAAACAATATATATAAAAAAAAAAGACAGTAACCATTTATCATATTGGTTGACATCTCTCTTTCCAATCATACCCCTCTCTAGCTTATTTGCTCTAGTGCTCTGCTACAATTATTCTACTCCCTCTTTGGAATGGACATCCTTTCTCTACCCATGAGTTTTACTATCTTCACTCCTCTCTTCATCCAGCATAAAGTTCATAATTCATTACACTCCCCTGCCCTGTCTTCTGGTCACACTCACTCTGGATGACTATTTGCACCTAAGCTGAAAGTCCCTGGTGGGTGTGTGTGTGTTGGGGGCAGGGTGCCACAGAAAAGCCTAGCAGGACTAAAATTCATAGCAGGTAACCTCAAATGGACCTTTTACATGATCCAGAAATCTTAGGGGCCAGGTTTCTTTAGCAGGTATCCTGACCCTCTGCCACAAACTTGCTCTCATTCTGGACTCATCTATCCGAAAGTTCCCGCCCCCGTGCCTACATCATTTCTGATGGAAAAGAATGGAAGCCAAGAGAGGTAACTCCTCATTTTTTTCTTAACATCTACAGATCTACCCACAGCTGCCCCATCCCTTCCTTCTCTCATGTTACAGGGAGGGAACTCCTTTGAGCAGATCCCTTCTCTACCCAAAGGACAAGCCRGGCCTTGAAACTTGGCTTATCGCCTAACCATCTATTCTTCGTTTTCTTTTTAATTTTTTTGTTTGTTTATTTGTTTTTTTAATGAGTTCTCACTAAGTTGCTCAGGCTGATCTTGAACTTGCAGGCTCAAACAATCCTTCCTGAGTAGATGAGACAATAGGTATGCACCCAACTCTGACCCTTTACGCTTTCTACCATCCCATGAAGGCTCTGCTGTAAAGCCAGCATTCTTACCCACCTTCTTGGCAAAATCAATCATCTACCTATTTGTGCAGGCCTGATTCAAGGGAAAGTCAAATATGACAGATCACAACTGTGGTGTCTGGGGCTYCCTGAGGATGGTACCTTGCACAGGACCAGCAGCCTGCCCTCTCCTCATGTGCCAAAGCAGTGCCTTCAAACCAACCTGGGCACAGCCAAGTCCCATTCCCCTTTGATGACACCTTTCTCTTCAACTTGCCACAGATCATCAGAAGTGGGGGACTTTAGACTCTCAGCCTCAAAACCTTGCAACATTAGAACTCTATACTCGGGCTGGGGATGTGGCTCAAGCGGTAGCGCGCTCGCCTGGCATGCGTGCGGCCCGGGTTCGATCCTCAGCACCACATACAAACAAAGATGTTGTGTCCCCCGTAACTGAAAAATAAATGTTAAAAAAAATTCTCTCTCTCTCTCTCTCTCTCTCTCTCTAAAAAAAAAAAAAAAAAAAAAAAAAGAACTCTATACTCCTAGAAATATAAACCACACAGCTACATGGAACCATAGCAATTACTAAACCAATTCTCTTTCTACAAATGGGGAATCTGCTGCTTGGGAAGTGAAGCCATAAAACAAACTGGATCCATGTCTCCCAACTCACAGTTGAATGCTTTTCTCTTTGAGCAATCTCCTTGAGAAAGCAAGAAAAATGAGGCTTTGAGGGAAGAATTCTCTTCCAAATCCAGAATCCTCAGGTTACCAGAGTTCCCTGTAAAGCTACTCAAGTGGAAAGGGGAAGGGAAGCAAAACAAGAGGAATTAGACTGAAAAAAAGAGAACTCTAACCCAAGGCTCTATAAATGAAAGATGGGGAAGGGAAGGAAGGAAAGAAAGGCCTCAGTGGAGGAAACTGAGGTCCAGCTCAGGAATTAGTCTATGAAAGGAGACTGCTGGAAGCCAGGGGAAAGACTTCCTGGTCTACTCAGAGGCCACACATGGGACTGAAGGACAGCCAGGCCTGTGGGCTCCCTACCCCAATGCCCAGCCCCCCCAGTTTTCCTTCCTCCCCACCCACCCTAGCCCACTCCATCCCCACAGTACTCACACATCCAGAGGTAATAGAGGCGCTTAGTCATGCTGAGATGCTGGGGAGGGATGTCTGCCTCGAAGTCTTGGTAGAAACATGGCTTCAGTGGGATGAACTTGGGCAATGGTGGGAAGTTGTTCACTTTTTCTGTGGGTGAGGCACACCATATGGCATAATGTTTCCCTTCCCTACAGTCCAATATGCCACTCCCCTCCCTGGCCAAGTTACCTGCTCAGCCCCCGGGGCCACTGGCTGCTTTGCTAATCCCACCCAGGTATCCCTACTTCCCAGGTCTGCCAAGATGATCCCAATGTAACCAAAGGTCCTGAAATGATGTCCCTCAGAAGAATAAAAAATAAAGACTATTCACTGGGTGAGACACACTTCTCAGTGGGAAGCCAGTTCCAAGCAGAGGAAACAGGATAGGTGAGAGTGAAGAGATGTGAGTCCCAGCCTCCACCCCAACACTCATTCATTTAAATCACTGCCCCTCTCCAGAATCCAGTTTGTCCAGTGGTGTTACATAGTCCCTAAAGTTTCCTCCAGCTGGCACTCTGTACCTTGGAGCCTTCAAAAATCTGACACTCAGAAACCAGAAAGAAGAGGTCTCAGAGTATTAGAAAAGAACAGTGACAGAGGGGAAGGGGGCTGGGCCAGCCAGGCTGCTAATCAGTCAATGGGTCAGCTAGACAGGGAAATTAAGATGCTCAATCCCCAGGATCAGAGAGATCTGACAGAGGACTAGAYAGCTGACTAGCCCTCAGATAGGTTCTCAGATAGGCTTTAGTGGGGAGAGTAAGAAACACCTGGGACAAGAAGACAGAAAGAGCCTGACCTCCAAAGACTAGAGGAAATAACGTGACAAGGAATATCTTTTGTTCACTCAATCTACCCACCCAGCCCATCCCTCTACTTACCTGCCATGTTGGTACCAGTTGGCCCAGAGGCCTGCCCACAACTCTTTGTCCTGAACTGAAAGGAAAAAGCCAGAAAAGGGTGAGATTCCGGGACCCACCCAACCTAGTACCTTTCTAAGCCCCAGCTGGGCTGCAGTCTCCTAGAGACGGACCTGGCTCATTCCCACAGTGGAAAAAACCCAGTGGAGTCAGCTCCCCACTTCACAGAGCCACCATTCACCAGCCACATCCTTCCAGCTACTCCTACCCTTTGCCTCAAGGTACAAAGTTTCTCTTGATTCCTTTCATGGAGGGGACCTCATGCAAGGAAAGCCAAGTGACAGTGAAGACTCAAGGGACCAAAGACCTCAGAAAGAGGAAACTGTTCCTTGATCCTAAACACAGGCTGAGATGTCCTCCCTCCTCCCTGTAGCCTTCAGTCATTTGTTCACTTATTGATACTTAGCTGCCAGGCACCAAGCAGAGTGTGAGCAGAACAGATGTGGTCCCTGCCCTCCACATGAAATAGTCAATAACCCTGCCACTAATTATGCAGGGAAGAAGGGCTGCTCTGAAAACATCATAGCATCTATCAAGGTGATCTAACCTGATCTTGAGAATCAGGGAAATAAAATATAAGCAGTAATCAAACACCTGGAGAATGAAGAGGAGTTACCCAGAGCATGGCAGTCTTTGAGGTAGGCAGAGGGGAAGAATCCCACAGACACTCATGTGTGAAGGAGCTTCATATTTGTAAGGGAATGAAAGTTGCTGTGGTCAAAGCAAAGAGTAAAAATGTGGWGGGAGCAGCAGATGAGGCTGGAGGCAAGTGTGAAGGGATTTTAAGGCGCCTGGGGAAGTAGGAGAACAGTGTGAGAAGAGGACTGGGGTCCAGGGCAGACAAGAAAACTGAATTATGGACATACGTGGTTTGCAGCATTGGGAGACACCCAGCAGGGCTTCTTGCTGACATGTGGTTGGGACTTGAGCAGAAGCCTGGCTAGGATACACATTAAGTAATCATTGTTGAGTTAAGGCCAAGGAAGCTAGTGAGCCCTAGATAACTGCTGGAATAGTAACTTTGGTGGACACATCTGTAACGAAAAGCAGAAATGTTACAAGTCCTAAGGCAATGTAACATGTCTATGTTTGGCCGAGATTTATCTAAAGTTTTAAAACTAGCAAATCTAATCTATGATGTTAGAAATGAAGGCAGTATTATCATTGAGAAGCAGTGACAGGGTGCAAGCATCTGAGCTGCCTAAAATGGTTGTGCCTGACCCACATGCTAGATACAGAGGTGTAGATCTTGGGAAAATTCACTAAGCATGCAGTTACAATTTGTATACTTTCCTGTGTTATATACATAGGTCAAGCATTCCTGATCGAAAATGCTTGTCACCTGAAGTGTTTGATTCCAGTTTTTCACATTTTATCACATTTTTTAGTTTTTCTGTTGAGCATCTCGAACCTAAAAATTAAAAATGCTCCAAAATCTGAAACTTTCAGAGCATGATTGGATTTCTAAGGATTTTGTATTTTTGTATTGGAAATGTTCAATCTGTACTTCAATTTAAAAAATTTGCATTCCAGTCAAAATCCTCTGAACTTAATCTAGGCAATTAAAATTTTCTGTGGCCCCTTTATGGTACTGAATCAAATACAGAGACAAAAATCCAACAACATCTGGGGCTGGGGTTGTGGCTCAGCAGTAGAGCGATCACCTCGCATGTACGAGGCTCTGGGTTCAATTCTCAGCACCACATAAAAATAAAGGTATTGTGTCCAACTACAACTAAAAAAAGAAATATTTAAAAAAAAATCCAGCAATATCTACCACAAAAAGAAACAAGGCACAAGGCCAGGGTTGTGGCTCAGTGGTAGAGTACTTGCCTAGCATGCATGAGACACTGGGTTCAATCCCCAGCACCACATAAAAAAATAAATTAATAATAATAATAATAAAATAAAGGTATTGTGTCCATCTACAACCATACACACATACACACACACTCACACACACACACATATATACACAAGGCATGATAGAGATGTGCATGAAGTGATACCCATCCACAGTTGCATAATTGTAACATGTAACATGTAAATTAAGAACTGGAAACAAGCTATCTGACTATCAATAAAGGGTTTATGAAATAAATGGTACTGTCATACAATGGACAGTTCCACAGCTATTTCTAAAAATGCTCTACAACTGTTACTCCCCTCCCCTCCTCAATACTGGGGATTGAACCTGGGGCATTATCCCTTTTTATATTTTATTTTGAGACAGGGTCTCCCTAAATTGCCCAGATTGGCCTCAAACTTGCAATCCCTGCCTCAGCCTCCAGAGTAATTCAGATTATAGGCATGCACCACCATAACCTGGCCTGTTTAAAAAGAAAATGTTAAGAACTTCCAGGTTTAAGGATGAAAAAATCTCCACAATCACCAGTAGATCAAAAACAGCAAGATATAGAACAGTTAATATAATATGTTACCTTTGTTTTAAGAAGAAAAACATAAGGAAAAAAAAATAAAGGGAGAGAACAAAAATATTTTTCCTCTTGACCCCCAAATCTTATTTATCCACAAATAAGAAACAACAAATACACTATTCAACAGTGACAGTATTTGTAATAGCAAATTGTTGAAAGCAACCTAAATGATGACTATTACATTGATATAAAAAAGAATGAAGAGGGCTGGGGATGTGGCTCAAGCCATAGTGTGCTTGCCTGGCATGCGTGCGGCCCAGGTTCGATCCTCAGCACCACATACAAACAAAGATGTTGTGTCTGCCGAAAACTAAAAATTCTCTCTCTCTCTCTCTCTCTCTCTCTCTCTCACACACACACACACACACACATACACACACTCACTCTCTCTTTAAAAAAAAGAAGAATGAAGATAAGTTCTATGAATTACTAAGGAAAGATTTCCAGGATATATTAAATTTTTTAAAAAGCAAACTACAGCCAGGTGTGGAGTTGCACACCTGTAATTCCAGCAGCTTGGGAGGCTGAGGCAAGAGGATCACAAGTTCAAAGCCAGCCTCAGCAACTTAGCAAGGCCCTAAGCAACTTAGTGAGACCTTGTCTCTAATAAAAAAAATAAAAAGGGCTGGGGATGTGGCTCAGTGGTTAGGTGCCCCTGGGTTCAATTCCTGGCACAAAAAAAAAAAAAAAAAAGCAAAGTACAAAAAAGTATAAATAGAATGCTACTCCTTATGTGCAAAAGAAGGGGAAGTAAGAACATGCACATGAATTTGCTTAGTTTGGGGAAAAAATACAGGAAGAACAAACCAGAAAGTAATGAAATAGTCACTTACACGATGGAAGGGCTAGGACCTTGAGAGAGACTTTTTTTTTTTTTGTTTGTTTGTTTTTTTAATGGTACTACTGGTACTAGAGATTGAACCCAGGGTCTCACACTTGTTTGGCAAGTGCTCTATCACTGAGCTAACAACCCCAGCTCCTAGAGAGACTTCTTTGGGTAAAGTTTTTTATATACTTTTGTATATACAAAGACTTGCATATTCAAAAACAAGCCAGAAAGAAAAGCAAACTCTAAAACTGAAACAAACATAAACAAATGAAGCTATGTGTATATTAAATTGGTAACATTCATAGAAAAAGTAATTTGCCTAGTATCTTTGGATCATAGTACTCTGTGTTCTCTTAAAAAGATATACCTCAAGGACAAAATAACTGGAAAGAAATCTTGAATTTTAGCAGAGCATGGTGGTGCATGTCTATAATCCCTTTTTGGGAGGCTGAAGCAGAAAGATCACAAGTTCAAGGCTGGCCTTAGCAATATAGCAAGACCCTGTCTCAAAATAAAAAATGAAAAGGTCTGGAGATATAGCTCAGTGGCATGTGCCCCTGGATTCAATTCCCAGTACCTCAGAAAAAAAAGAAAGAGGAAAAAGAAATCTTGAATTTTAGCAGGCTTACTGTTACTGTTGATCCTGTTGTGATTTTGAAGCTTTGTCACATGCACTCTAACACAGAGACAATAAGTTAAGGTGTTGATGGAGGGAACACAGGTTCTTCCTGTTAGAGTATGAAAGAGCTCTGTAGTAGCTGGATTTTAACTCAACATTTAAAAAATATGTATGGCTGGCCCCAAACTAGGACAGGAAATGTCCTACAAGGTTAGAATGGAACACACTGTGGTACCAAAAATAATAAGAAAACACTCAACAACTAAAGAGGCATGTCAAAGGGACACAGGAACCACCCTGAAGGGGCTATGATCTACCAAATTTGGGACTATTAGAATATCAAAAAAATAAAATGAGCTAGAAGCTGTGGCACATGCCTATATTCTCAGCAATTATGCTGAGAATATTTTGGAGGCTAAGGCAAGAGGATCACAAGTTCCAGGCCAGCCTGAAAATTTAGGAAGATTCTCTCAAAAAAATAAGAAAATGAAGCTGGTGTGGTGGTACACGCCTATAATCCCAGTGGCTCGGGAGGTTGAGACAGGAGGATCGTAAGTTCAAAGACAGCCTCAGCAAAAAAGTGAGGTGCTAAACAACTCAGTGAGACCCTATCTCCAAATAAAATACAAAAAATAGGACCAGGGATGTCACTCAGTGGTCGAGTGCCCCTAAGCTCAATCCCAAGTACCCCTATCCGCTCCCCCCTAAAAAGAGAGAGAGATGGAATAAGTAAGAAGCAAAAGGTTGGGCTGGGGATGTGGCTCAAGCGGTAGCGCGCTCGTCTGGCGTGCGTGCGGCCAGGGTTCGATCCTCAGCACCACATATAAACAAAGATGTTGTGTCCACCAATAAAATAAAAAATAAATAAATAAATATTTTTTAAAAAAAGGAGCAAAAGGTCTTTGCAGAACACAGCCATAAATGAGGCTGAGAATGAGAAAAATCTCCCAGTTTCACAATCATTAATGCAATAGCTAATTCAGGCAAACAACATCAGTAGCCTCTAAAACCACTAGTTGAAAGACAGTTGAAGAGGAGAGTCATGAGGTCTTAGAGGAATGATTAGCCCTAACATGACTTAATAATTACATAAGTGCTACCATCTAGATATGAGTTGTCCCCCAAAAGCT